AAAGGTTGGAGGTTCCACAAATCTATAAATATAAACACCAATATTTAGGAAGAACTTTGACAACATAACCATTTAGAAAAACATTAATAGTTTCTTACCTAGAGCCCAGGACTTCTATGGCTGTGGATTTTGACCATTTTTATAGTACCAGGCCTGAATTCCCTCCTGTAGAGCCGAAATCAGAACCAATCAAGAGAGCAATTGCTCTGTTCATGAACAGTCTTGCCACTATTACTCAAGTAATATTGGCAGGTTAATATTATAGCATGCAGGGGCCAGCACTAGGTAAATCCATCAATGTCTTTCTGTCTCTCATCAGCCTGAATATCAGCATTATGAAAGCTAGCCAGCAGCAAGTGTTTCCTGATCAAAGACTCATTTTCTAAATCTCACAACCAAACTGTGTATGATATCTTCAACAATATGATCTTATAATCTAAGGAAATTGCAATTACTTTTATTGGTTGGGATGCTTCTGAGGCATCTCTAACCAGTAATTCCTAGGGAGGTAACTAAGGTTTTCATTGAATAGTCTATATCTTTTGGGAGCAGTATTATTTACTAATGTCTTATAAAAAAAGTTCAGAATCAGATTAATAAAATAAGTAGTTTTGACGTTAGTTTTTTGAAGTTTTGGTAGAAGTCTGCACTCATCTTGATTTAAGTTTTTCATGCTGTATGCCTCAAGAAATTCATCCATTTCCTTTGGATTTCTCAGTTTAGTGTGACAGAGTTATGTAAAATGTATGTTTCTAATTCTTCTGAACTTCACTGGTATCTGTTGTATCATGTGCATTTTTATTTTTGTTTTATTAATTTGTTTGTTTTTCTTTCTTTTGGATAGGTTTGTCTTTGCCAATATTATATTTTCAAAAGCCAGTCCTTTGTTTCTTTGATTCTTAGTATTGTTTTGTTACTTTGTTGTTGTTGTTTCCCATTCACTAATTTCACCCCTAATTTAATTGTGCCTTCTTAGCTACTATTTTGAGGGTTGTTTGTTCTCTTACAAAGTCCTTAAGGTGCAACATTGCATTATTAATTTTAGAACGTCCAATTTTTGTATCTTTTTTGGTTATTTTTCGAGACAGGGTTTCTCTGTGTAGCTTTGGAACCTATCCTGGCACTCGCTCTGTAGACCAGGCTGACCTCAAACTCACAGAGATCCACCTGCCACTGCCTCCCCAGTGCTGGGATTAAAGGCGTGTGCCACTGACGCCCAACTTGTGGGTATTTAATATTATAAAATTTCCTCTTTGGATTGCCTTCCCTGTGACTGATAGATTTTAGTGTGTTGTGTGTTTCATTATTACTCACCTCTAGGAATTTCTTATTTCCCCAATTATTCCCTTTTTGCCAGAATTGTCATCAAGTAGTATGTTTTCCTGTTTCACTGAGCATATACACTTTCTGTAGTTTATACTGCTATTATTATCTGGCTTTGTTCCATTGTGGCGAGATAATACACAAAATGCTGTTTCAATTTTCCTGTGGTTGTTGAGACTTGCATGTATCCTAAATTTTTGACACATTTCCATGGGCTACTGAGAAGAGTGTGTATTTTCAGTGCTCAAGTAGGAAGCTCTGTAGGTATCTGCTAAAGCCTTTTGACTCATGACCTCATTTTACTCCAATGTTTCTCCTTGGGTTTTGCCTGGATGAACTGATTACTCTTGAGAGTGAGCTGCTGAAGTTACCCATTCTCACTATGCTGGGGTTAATTTGTGATTTTAGAACTAGTTCTATATCTATTATGAAAATGGGGGCAAAGCAGCTCCCAGACTCACCTCAAGCAGCAAGCAGAGGGCAGAGGGCAGAGGGCAGAGGGAGGACAATTGTGAGGTGCATCCGGACTCAGGGTGGGCCTTCTGGTCTAGGCAGGACCACACGTGTCCAGGAGGAGGCAGCAAGCAGAGGATAAAACAGGAAACAGCGAAATTAAAAAGTGGAGTGCAGAACACGGGAAAGGGCCTAGGCCTGGCCCAGGATGATGTGGTAGACTTTGGGGAGCCCCTTTTGAGGGCCTTACCCTGCCTGGGGAGTGTAGGGAGGATGGCTAGGGGCAGGTGGGTTGTTGGGTGGGAGAGGAGGGAGAGGGAGAAGGGATTGACATGTGAAACAAGCTTGTTCATAATTTGAACTAATAAAAGAATAAAAAAAAAGTGGACTGAAGAACTAAATAGAGAATTCTCAACAGAGAAATCTAAAATGGCTGAAAGACACTTGAGAAAGTGCTCAGCATCCTTAGCCACAAGGGAAATGCAGCTCAAAACCACTCTGAGATACCATCTTACTCCTATCAGAATGGCTAAAATCAATAACACCAATTACAGTCTATGCTGGAGAGGAAGTGGAGAAAGAGGAACACTCCTCCATTGCTGGTGAGAGTGCAGACTTGTACAACCACTTTTGAAATCAGTATGGCAGTTTCTCAGGAAAATGGGAATTAGCCTACATCAAGATACAGCAATTCCTCTCTTGGGCATATACCCAAAGAATGCACATTTATACAATAAGGACATATATTCAACTATGTTCATAGCAGCATTATTTTTAATAGCCAGAATCTGGAAGCAACCTAGATGCCCCTCAACTGAAGAATGGATAGAGAAAATGTGGTACATTTACACAATGGAGTGTTACTCAGCAGAAAAAAAAAATGGAATCTTTAAATTTGCAGGCAAATGGATAGAACCAGAAGAAACCATCCTGAGTGAGGTAACCCAGTCACAAAAAGATAAACATGGTATGCACTCACTCATATAGGATTTTTAGACATAGATCAAAGAATTAACAGTCTATAATCCATACTGCCAGAGGACCTAGGAAATGAGGAGGAGCCTAAGAGAAGATTACATAGTCCCTTGAAGAAGGGGAGGGGGACAAGAATCCATGAACAAAGTGGGAACACAGGACATGGGTGGAGAGGAAGGAGGTGGGAAAAGAAGAAGGGGAGGGGGAGGAGAACAAGAGGACTGAGACAGGGGAAGAATAGAGGAGGACAGGAAAGGAGATGCCTTGATAGAGGGAGACAGTACAGGTTTGGAGAAAGGTTGAGCACAGGGGAAATGTTAGGGGATCCACAGGGATGACCCCAACTAAGAATCCAAGCAGTGGTGGAGAAAATGCCATTGATTCCCTTCCCCTATAATGAAATTGGTGTCTACCTTGGTTACCATTCCTAGAGCCTTTATCCAGTAACTGTTCAAAGCAATAACAGGCACCCACAGCTAAGCACTGAGCCATACCCCTGGAATCCAATTGTGGAGAGGGAGGAGGGATGAGCAAAGAGCCAAGATGGTGTTGCAGAGACCCACAGAAACAGTTGACCTGATCTAGTGAGAGCATGGAGACCCTAGTCATAAGATTGCAGAAACACCATTGGACTGAACCAAACCCTCTGAATGTGGTGTCCAGCTAGCAGGCCAAGACAGTCTATGGGACCTCTAAAAGTGGAGCCAGTCTTTAACCCTAGATCACAAATGGACTTTGGGAGCCCATTCCCTATGGAGGGATATTATTCCAGCCCAGATACAGCAAGGAGGCTTAGGCCCTCCCCCAAAAGATGATATGACAGACTTTGAAGGTCCCTGGTGGAGGGACTAATACTCACTAATACTGGGGAGGAGTTGGGGGATGGGTTGGGGCTGTGGGGGGTTGGTGGGGAACATGGGAAGATGGGAGGACAAGGGAATGGGTGGGATGGATATGTAAATGTGAATAGTAATTAAAGAATTTAAATAAAAAAGAAAATGTGCATGCCTGCATTTGATGCATATATATTCAGAATTGTAATTTCTGTTTGTCAATGACTTTGTCAATGAGTATGAGTGATCTTCTTTTTCTATTCTGACAAGTTTTGTTTTGAAGTTTATTTTGTCATGTATTACAATCACTACACTGGCTAATACTAAAGACAGTATCTATAGTCAATGGCATGGTGTGTTTCTTGAAGACAACAACAAAGATAGTGTTTTTTATTTCTTTTTGTTTATTGAATAATTTTTAATGGGCTACATAATTCCTTCTACATAAGTTGACACTGATAATTTCTGGCAACAGGTAACAAGGAATATTTAAATCACTTTTTAAAAAGTTGTTAATTAAGTATTTCTGAATCTGCATCCCCACCTCTTGCTCTGTGGGCTATTACTCCAGCTCTTACACCTGTATCTATAAGAAAATATTATTTTTTTCTCTGAATAAGGTATCCTGTCATACTTTCTCTAAAAAGAGCTCAAGTAGGTCATGTAAATTGATTCTTTATAGCTTAAGCATTTTCTTAACTGTAGAACTATTATAATCCTATTCAGGTTCTTATGACTCTCATTCTTGCATTTATTTGTTGAGGGCCTATTCATCATTCTATTTCATAACAAAGTGTTGTAAATCTATCACTGCATTCTAAGACAATGACACACTGAATAAAAAGCTGTGATTAAGACAACCCATATCCATGACTTTAGGGATAAGCAAAGAAATGCTTAGAAGGTCATTGTGCCAGCAGGACTGTCAGAACACCTGAAGGTGATATGCATGGTGGCTGGCACCAACAGTTAATAGTATATAGTAAATCCAATGTATAATATGTTTTACACAAGACATATTAGAACTCTATAGTTCCATTAGTAGTACAATATTGTGTCAGGATTATTTTGAAGGTGAAATAAAACAAACCTACTATAACTGTTTTGGGAATGAGTGTAGAGGGGGATGGCGGCATGAAGGACTTCAGAATTATCTCATGTGTTTTAATGACAGCAAATACGATGGAAAAGTGAACCCAAAGAATGAGCGTTTGTGGAACTCCTCCAGGTTCCAAAACCAAGGTATGTTAATTATATTACTCTGACAAAAAATAAAAAGCCGTTTGGCGCCGCCGCCGCCGGCCGGATCGCCGAGGAAGGCCTAGGCCGTCTGCTTCACAGCTTGTCCAGTGTCTGCACAGCTTCTCCCGCCTCCCGTCCGCTGCGGCCGGGTGAGTGGAGGCCTTCCCAAGCCATGCAGAACGAGGTGATTCACATTGCCAAGAAGATGGACAAGATGGTGCAGAAGAAGAACGCAGCTGGTGCATTGGATTTGCTGAAAGAGTTTAAGAATATTCCCATGACTCTGGATTATTACAGTCCACGAGAATTGGGATGTCTGTCAATGCTATGCGTAAGCAGAGTACAGACGAAGAAGTTGCATCTTTAGCCAAATCACTCATCAAATCCTGGAAAAAAATGTTAGATGGTCCATCAACTGATAAAGACCCTGAAGAAAAGAAAAAAGAACCTACAATTTCATCACAGAATAGCCCTGAAGCAAGAGAAGAAAGTAGTTCCAGCGGCAATGTAAGCAGCAGAAAGGATAAGACAAATGCTCGAGACACTTATGTTTCATCTTTTCCTCGGGCACCAAGCACTTCTGATTCTGTGCCGTTAAAATGTAGGGAGATGCTAGCTGCAGCTCTCCGGACGGGAGATGACTACGTTGCTATTGGAGCCGATGAGGAAGAACTGGGATCACAGATTGAGGAAGCTATATATCAAGAAATACGGAATACAGACATGAAATACAAAAACAGAGTACGGAGTAGGATATCAAATCTTAAAGATGCAAAGAATCCAAATTTAAGGAAAAATGCGCTGTGTGGGAATATTCCTCCTGACCTATTTGCTAGAATGACAGCAGAGGAAATGGCTAGTGATGAGCTCAAAGAAATGAGGAAAAACCTGACCAAAGAAGCCATCAGAGAGCATCAGATGGCCAAGACAGGTGGGACCCAGACTGACTTGTTCACGTGTGGCAAATGTAAAAAGAACTGCACTTATACACAGGTGCAGACTCATAGTGCTGATGAACCAATGACAACATTTGTCGTATGTAATGAATGTGGAAATCGATAGAAGTTCTGTTGAGTTGGAAAAATCGGCAAGTTTCACAGAACTCTGTTAAAGTTTCTAGGCTTCTCACAAATCCACTCACAGGCATACTTCTGGTGACTTTTCCCCCATAAGAAGACAGGCTGGGAAGGAAATGTCAGCATCTTCGTAGAGTTCCTTGAGGCAGCATGACTGGACTTGCACTTGGGAATCTACTGACTAAGGACTAAGCCTAAGAACTGTGTTAATCATTAAGCTGTGCTCTTTGCTTATGAAGGTTGCAAAAAGAAAAAGGAAAATCTTTTAGTCTGAATCTTTTGTGCTTTTTTTCTTACATGATGATGTTGAGCCCACTGAAATGTAGGCTGTAGCAAGTAGTTTTACAATACATATGTCACAATTAAGTTTTACCTTTGTTTAAATGTGTCCTACTTGTTTTGCTGGTAATAAGCAGTGGTTTTCACATAGCTTTCTTGATACAGATATTCGGATAAATATAGTAAAGGCCACGGCTGCAAAGCTTACAACTTATGTGCTTGCATCTGGTCAGATGTCTGTGTAAAGACCACTGCACAATCTTTGCACTCTGCTGTGCTCTGCAGATTGCTTGACATAACATAGAAAACACTTAAAGGTTCATGTTAAAAAAGATTGGTCCATGGGTAATTTCTGTCACTTTAAAAAAAAGTACATTTTGAAAGAATTAGTTTAACAATAATAAGGTTAAAATAGTCCCACTTTTAAGTGATCCATTTTAAAATTTGTAAATCAATAAATTTTTTGTTGTTAAAAAAATAAAAAAATAAAGTAAAATCCTTAGGTTTCAGTTCTTCTTCTTCCTCCTTCTCCTCCTCCTCTTTCTCCTCTTCTTTTTTTTTTCAATAACATAAAATAAAATGTCTCCTTTCCCTGAGCTCTGTCTTCATCCATCTCCTCCTTGCTTCTTTCTTCAGTCTCTGATTCTCTTATCTTCTTCCCATCCTACCATCAAATGGTGGAGTCAATTTTCCAGAGAAAAGGTCCAGGCCTCTCACTCCATTACAGTCTACATGGTGTCTCATTGTTTTTAAATATCATTTGCTTGTTTGTGTCTTTTTATTAAGATAATAAGACTATTAACAAAGAGATTTTAACATATGTGTTAATTAATGTCATTTCATGTTTTCTTAGATCTTTTTTAATTAACAGTCCTGGCATTACTTCTTTGTTCTCTGAGATCTCTTTGTGTATTTATCTTTCTCTTTAGACTGGGGTATTCCTTACAGTATCTTTTGTATAACTTGCTCAGTAATTATAAATCATTTAATTTACTGTTATTTCTAGAAAGATTTTATTTCCCCTGTTATTATCAATTTTAATTTTTCTGGATATAATAGTTTGTATTTACAACTGCTGTCTTTCAAAACTTGAAATACATATTTCCAGTTCCTCTGGGTTTAAGTATTTTGTTGACTAATCAGAAATTATTCTGATTGGCATGCCTATGTAAGTAAATGACTTGTTCTTTCTATTAGCTTTTTATACCCTTTCTTTATTCTGTCTTTTCAATATTTAACTGTAGTGTGTCCTTGGAGGTTTCTTCTCTTGTCCTGTCTGTCATTGTCTTACATGTGGATGGCCATATGTTTCTTTTGGTATACAGCATTTTTTCCTGTGAGTGAATGTATTGAAAATATTTTCTATTCCTTTATTATGGTGTTATCCTTCTATGGCATAGCTCAAAGACTATGGTCTTTTCATTTTGTTCCAGAGATCTCCCATGTTACAATTATCTTTTAAAAGTGTTATCATTGACTTAATGAATTATCTACATCTTCTACTTTGTCTTCCAGCCCTGATACTGTGTGTTACATGGTGCATTCTACTAGTAAGCTTTTCCATTGAGTTTTTATTTGGTTTATTCACTTGAGCATTTCCAGCAATACCTCAGTTTGGTATTTGCTTATTAACTCTATCTTCTTATTGAGTTTTATTTTTATATATGGATTGGCTTCATATTTACATTCAACTCTTAGGTTTCATTCTCTTAAAATATATTCATGTCTCTCTGAGCTCCCAGATCATAGTTGTAATATTTCTTTTATTAACTTATTGTCTGAAAGTTACATTACTTTATTTATTCTTCTCTTGTAAATTGCATCCCAAATTCAGTTTTCCCTCCATCCTCTCCTCTCAGTCCCACCACTCATCTCTTTTTCCTCCCAGATCCATTTCCTTCTCTGTTTCCCTTCAGAGAAGACCAGGCATCCAGGGATATCATCCAAACACAGCATGGCAAGTTGCAATAAGAATAGATATATACTCTCACATCAAGTCTGGATGAGGCAACCCAGTTGTTTTAATCCCATGTAAGAGACTGTGGTGTAGGTCAGCTGGTAGCATGCTTGCCTAGCATGCATGAAGTTCAAGGTTTGATCCACATCACTACCTGCAGCAAGGTCTGGTGGTACACACTTGTAAGACCAGCACTTTGGAAAGAGAATCCAAAGGACCAGAAACTCAAGATCATCTTTTCCTATATACCTGAACTACAACCAGAACTACATGAAACCTTGCCTCAGTCAGACAAAACTCTCACATAAAGAAGCAATTGTATTATTGTGACTTTTTCTTTTGGGATATGCATGAAAGTTTCATGATTTAATTCTGTAATTATTTAAAAATGAATTTACCTGTGTGTGTGTGTGTGTGTGTGTGTGTGTGTGTGTGTGTGTACATTCACATGCATGCACCAATAGTTGTATGTGAATGTTAGAGGACAACTTCCAGGGGTTGGTTTTGTCTATCATGTGGATCCCTGGAATCGAACTCAGGTCATCAGGCTGGCTGGTAAGCTACTTTACCTGCTGAGCCATCTCACCAGCACAATCATGTGATGTTTGTTTTCTATACATAATTTCTGGTAAATTCAAATTTTTATTTTGAATTGATTACAACTATTACAGTTGAAAGTTCTGCTATGAAAGTGAGTGAGTAATGGACTCTACCAGAACTCTTGAATCTTATTTCCTAAGCCATGTCTGATAGCTGATTGTATCCTGGTATAGAATGATTTTCATTCTTCTTTTACGTCCATCGGTTTATCTTCATCTCCACAGTCTGCAAGCCTGTCGTTCTGTGCTTCAGATTGCCTCTATATGTTGATTTAGAGATAGCCATGTTTCTACATTTGCATATGGCTGTCTTCAGTGCAAACTTTGGGCATGCCATTTTCCTATTTACAAAATTGTGTATATATACTTGTATTTATGTGTGTGCTTTGTGTATCACTGGAGTATATTATATGTAATTTCTGGAAATTCTACTTCCAGTAGCCCTCCTGAGAGTATTGTATTTTCTTTGAGTTTATTCATCCTCTCCAAGATGGTAAAGGTAGGCTTGTAGTCTGATCTGGGTGAGAGTACAGCATCTGTGAGAGCAATCTTGGTAAGGCTAACTGCAGCTAATGTAGTATAGGAGATTGTGTCTCCTTGCTGTAGAGATGGCTGTGTGCTTCTTGTGATTGCTGTTAATAGTCCTTTATTTGGTATGGGGATGCTTGCCATTTTGGGCCCATCATGTGAGTACACAGATGGATAAAGGACTCTACTATGACTTCTAAAAACAGTATATATGGGAAAGGACTATAGGTTGGCTGCTATATCAATAACATTGTCTTTACTGGAGTGATAAGACAAAGAAAACAAAGAACTGAGGCTCAGCTGTATTTCCAGAAAGAATCTGCCCATTTAAAGGAGGAATTAGAGCAGAAAGAAGGACATATGGAAGTTATACAGACATTAGCCTCTGAATTGGCAGAAAAAGTGGAAAAAGGGAAGATCATATGGTTTGTCATTTCTTACAGCTGGCAGGATATGAAGGAAAGAGAGTGAAAAGTATATCTCTGCTAATAAACCCCTCTTTCCTGGAATCCAAATGTCTGGACTCATAGGAAATATCAGACCATAAAGAAGAAGAAAACAAGGTGAGAAAGATAGGAGATAACTCCTAGGGCTGACCTATTATGCAGCCAAAGGAAAAATACACCATTCAGGATGAAGATCCCAGATCTCTTCAAGAATGTGGATAGTGGAGGGCTACCTTGCTATGGTCCAGAGTAGAACACAGGAGGTCAAATGTGTCTGCTTATGTATGAGGCTTGAGTGCAACACATTTTATTTTGTTGGACTTAAGGTCTACTCCACAGAAGGTGATTCATATCTAGTAAACTAGGGCAAAAGTCCATGGTTAGTAGGTCATAGACTCCAGGAAGGAAATAACTGATAGTGCTTTGTTAAATGTGTGGAGTATGCCTGTTGGGTTGCCTTTTGAACATTTGTGTTTATTCAGTATATTACTATGGCTGTGAGACTTAGTTATTCATGGAGGGGGTAACTTTATTTTATAATAGGCCTTTTTACCACAGATATTTATATCTAGTCAGATACTGAGCACACATAACTGTTGCTCTGGCATAGAATCTTAATCAGCCATGGAAAGAAGGGAATAGACAACATCTATAACACCTATTCCATGACACAGATAACACAGTGGAAGAAGTAACAGAAATAATGTAAGAGAGAGTTGGGCAAAACTTTGTTTAGTTATTTCTCTTAATTGAAATATATGCTCCTGGAAAATGAGCAATGAAAATACAAGGACCATGAAGGAAACAAAACTTAAAAGGTTCAAAGAGGTCACTGAAGTTAAAAGATTCATGAGTGTTTTCTCCAGATTTATATAAGTAATAAGCAAATCTCTTAAAGAAAACAAGGAAAGACAAGAAAAAAACAACCTAACAAGTAAAAGAAACAATTCAAACAGTGCAAGAATTGAAAGTTGAAAAAGAGACAGTAAAAACAAACACAGTCTGAGGGAATGCTGAAAAATAGAAAAGCTGGGTAAACGATCAGGAACTACAGATGAAAGCATAACAAATAAAATACAGGAGATGGAAGAGAGGATCATAGACATTGAAGATACACTGGGAGAAATAGATTCATTGATCAAAGAAACTCTTAAGTAATGAACCCCAAACACAAAATGGGACACTGTGAAAAGACCAAACCTAATAATAATAGGTATAGAATAAAGTAAAGAAACCCACCTCAAAGGTTGAGAAAACACATTCAATAAAATCACAGAAGAAAACTTTCCCAACTAAAGAAAGACATGCCAATGAAGGCACAAGAAGCCAACAGAACAGCAAATAAAGGAGACCACAAAAAGTCCCCTCACTACATAATAACAAAACACCTAACATACAGAATGAAGAAAGACTATTAAGAGCAGCAAAGGAAAAAGGCCAAGTAACAAATAAATTCAAACATATCAGAATTACACCTGAATTCTCCATGGAAAAAATGAAAGTCAGAAGGTCATGGATAGATATTCTACCTACACTAAGATACCACAGATGCCAGCCCAGACT